CCCAAGCTAATTAAAATCTCCAGACATAAAGTAGAATATGATCCTGCATAACTTGATGTCTTGTAAGAGCTGCTTTAAGGCTCAAAAACATGCAACTGAAAGAACACTGGAAATGAAAAGCAATAAGACTATGCTAGAGCTTGACATGTCCTTCACCGAGGCATTCAAAATACAGAGGCTGAAATCACTGATATTTAGGTCTTCCATTACGTGTGCATAGAGAGGCTATTCAACAGCTAGTATGCAGTAAAAGAAATTATAAGGAAGCCTGTTTATTTTGTAAAAACCTGTTTATTCAGTAAAAACGGATCTCTTTAACCAGAGATTAGCTAGAGAACTTGAATGTCATCTGATGAGCATTTCCCCATTACAAACTCTGGGACCTGGATGTTCATGATGTAGAAACAGTATTCTCCGTGTCTTTATTATTTATTTATATGAATAATATAAATTGAAGAGCATTTGGAAGCTTCAGGTGGTACAGAATGCAGCTGTCCGGGTTGTAAATAGTGTCAGCTACTTGGCCCATGTAACACCAATGCTTCGGGAGCTGCACTGGTTGCCAGTGTGTTTCCGAGTGCAATTCAAGGTGTTGGTTGTCACCCTTAAACCCCTTCATGGCTTGGGACCAGGTTACCTTCTGGACTGTCTTTTCCCAGTTGTTTCTACCCATCCAATCCAGTCTGGCAGGATGGGCATGCTCTGAGTCCCGTCAGCCAAGGAATGTTGGCTGGCAGGGACCAGGAGACGTGCCTTTTCTGCTGTGGCGCCTGCCCTCTGGAACATCCTCCCTCCTGAGATTAAGATGGCCCCGATCCTTTTGGCTTTTCGGAAGGCCTTGAAGACCCAGCTTTATGCCTGGGCCTGGGGCCCTGAGTGTGCAAAAGGCCCCATTTCATGGTTGTGCTGCCACCAATGTTTTTTTAAGATCTCTTGGCTGTATTTATATTTAATTTTCTGTATTGTTTTAATGGTTTGATTGTTTTTATTATTGTTAGCCGCCCAGAGTCACTGGTCTGAGATGGGCAACAGATACATTGAATAAATAAATAAAAATAAATCAATGCTTTAGGTGGCCACCATTTCACACAGGTGACTCTGGGTGGTGTACAAGGATTAAAAACAAAAAATGCACGTGGGCATGTGGTCGGATGAAAAACAATGACAAGAAACATAAAGCACATATACCCTCACTTAATCACATTTAAAATTCCTCCTCTCCAGTGATGATGCTTGGGCTCAGCCTTCTCCCCTAAAACATCTTCAAACATTTGTGTTATTGGAGGTATATAAATATTAAAACAGATTCTGTTAAATCAAATAGAATCAGAAGTACAAAAAAGATGCTATAGGGTTTGTAGCAAGGATTTTAGGAGAGGATGCATAAAAAAGAGTTATGTAGTTGAAGTGGCATACGTCACAGTAATAAATAAAATAAATAAAAATGCTGGTTCAAGGAGCAAAGGAAAGAAAAGAATCAGTAGCTGGTAAGTTCAGCTTTGAATATGAAATGGAAAATCGTGGGGGATGAATGGGCGTGAGGAGGGAACGTGAGGTGCTTCTCTATACAGCAGTCGGTGGGTTTAAATCTGCTGCTTGCAGAAACACTAACATGATTTATTCAATGTATAGTAATATTATTACTACTACTGTTATTGGCTCATGTATTTTTCAATAAACATGGCTGATTTCTCAGAAGAATATTAAACATTTTGCTTTCTTGAATGGCAGGAATTTTATATGTTGCATTATCAGCTCAAAAGTGTTATTTATTTATACACTAGGTACGTAGTGTGTAGTTGTCCATAGGACTATGAATGCAGCAGGCACATGTAAATTTCTAGTATATTTTCTCACCCTTTTGCAATTGCTATAAAAGAATTATGTTTTACCAACAAAATAAAGCATCTTCACTTAGTCTTAGGGAATAGCCACTAAGCTACTAACATTTTTTTTCCTAATAAATTCTTCCTCCTTTTTTCAAATCCATGATTATGGAGAAAAAATCTCTAACATAACAGTACATAATTTAATTGAATATGCAAGAAATTAAAATCTGAGTAGTGAATAGCGGGGAGAAAATGTCAAAGATATTTGGTATAACTAGATGGATTTTATGATTAGATGGGTTTTAATAATGTTTGACTATGGCCGTATAGTTTGCATTTTAGCTCTGTCTGTGAACTGCCCAAATGTATAGCAAAATATATAGACTTCATGGTTCCTGCTTCTGTCTCTACCCATTGTATATCTTCACAACAGCAGTTTTCCTAGGTGCTTAACATCATAGATTTAAGTGGGAAGGTATCATTACTTTTGTACAAGATTCATCGTCCAAAAGACAGACCTATATTATTCAGCCCCTGATTATTGAATCTTTATACCTATTAAGATTCACATTACCCCCCCCCGGGGCATCAGGGGGGCAGGGACTGTCAAAAAAAGTCAAAATATTAACCGCCCATCTGACTGAAGTCCTACCCCTTTTTACATGGGTAAGGGGTGGGACTTCTATTGTGCAGCCACAATCTTCACTTGTCTAATCTTCCAATGGATGCCCAGCTCCTCTCCTTTTAAAAATGGCAATAAAACTAGATTCACCTTATGGTGGTTTGATCATTTAAAGCCAGAGAACAATTTATACCAGGCCTAGATTATTCTTTTTTCCAACATTTGCAATAGAACATAATCACACATTTAGACCTATTAGTCAATGGTTTTCAGTTCCTGTGCTGAACAGTCTATTTGTTCAGTAATTTACTACTACTGATCGTAGAAGATGCCAAAAAAAAATTATCTCTAGGATGAACATACAGTTTAGACTGCCAGTGCTCAACCAAATTTAGATTTGGAAACACCGGTCCTCTCTCTTTCAACTGTATGTAATCCTACTGTCTTATAAGAAAAAGGCATTTATTTATTTATTTATTCATCCATCCATCCATCCATCCAATTTGTATTGTCCAATTCCTTAATACTCCAGCTTTCAGGCTATTTTCATACATGTAATAAAAGAACAGTACAATATTTACATACAATTTATATAGAATGAAGTCCCACCCCCGATTCGAACTGTCCCTACCCTATTGGTGTTTCAAAGGGCCCTGAAGACCTGGCTCGTTGCCCAGGCCTTTGGCAAATGTGATTGAAGAACCCCCCCCCTTTTTTTTTTCCTTTGTTCCCATCTGGTTTTGTCATTTCTGCCATCTTTAATCTTTCGGGCGGGGGGGAGTTCCTTGCTTTTAAATATTTTCAACAATTTGTAAACCACCCAGAGTCACTGGAAGTTGGGCAGCATGTACATTTAATAAATTATTATTAGAACCTATTGTGTTGTAATACATTTAACACTGTTCTTGCCATTTCTAGGAATCTAGAGACTCAAGAAATTTCAGTTGAGACCTTTTGTTACATAATGTTTTAATTTTTCTTCAGTTCATTCTTTTCGTAGTAAAACCACAATATTTCAGTCTTTTACTCTCAAGAAAGAAGAGCAATTCATTCCAAAACTAGCACAATTAAAAGCTTGAACCCACTTTTGAGAGAGAAAAAAAGAAAGAAAAACATAGACTGTTGCAAGTGAGAAGTCCCTTCAGGGGCAATTACATTTCAGCTCCTCTGATGCATCATGTTTTACACACATTCTTGAAGCAATTCTAATGACCCTGAATATGAGTCTTGCCAAACAGATGTTGCCTTAAATTCCATGATGTCTAAAAGTTCAACAGAAAAAGGGGTTTTTTTCCACAAAACAACACAAAGGCATTTAACAAAATACACATGATAAGTGTACACCACCTGCAGGCAGAGCCATAAATATAGACTAGACAAAAACATTTACTTTTAATAGAGTTTTGTTGTCTTGTTAAAGCAGGAATGCATGTCATTTTTAGAAACACACAAGTTATTGAAGGACTACTCATATATAAAAGATATCCAGAGGAGCACAGTTTTAAAGTACAGAACAGCTAGATTAAAAAACTGATGATGGTGAGTTGTAGTTCTAGTTTTCTTCAATAGATATAAATCCATCATCACCTTGCAAAAAACTATCAAGTATAACTGGATAAAATATTCTTAAATTAGGTTAGGGTCTTTACAAGTGAGCTGAGACTTGTCAAATAAAGCTCTCTGTCTTACCAAGCCAATATTTCTCTTCACATCACACTGACTCTTCCAAATCACTATTTCAGACATGACACACATCTCACTCTTCCCTAATGTGATGCCCTCTGCAGATGTTGGGGTTACAACTCACGGTATTCTCAGTCAGTATGGTTTGAATACCAGCATTTCTGGAGTCTGTTCCTTCCAAACTCTCCAAGATTTCCAAGTCATTTGGAGAGTGAGGGGCTACCAGGAGGCTTGTAACTCGGGGGCAACCTTAAGTCAGCAGAGTTCAACTAAGATAGAATTATCTTAAGTATGGCATTGATAGAAGAGTCTCAAAGGGATCATTTTATCAGCTGGCTTTAGACTAAGTAGCTTTTAATCCTGTTGCACTTTGTGAGCTACAATATATGGCTATATCTCACAAACATACATATACATACATATTCACATGCACAGTTCATTTTTATACAATAATCTTATCTTCAATCAAAGTTAAAGCTCAGAGCAGAGTTCAAAAGGCAAGAACACAGCCTTGTGATAAAGCTACTGTTCTAGCTTCTGGAGTTGCTGTCTCAGCACCAAAGGTAAGTTAGTCACACATAAGTTAAAACAACTGCAAGATGCCATATAGGAATTTGCACTCCTGTGTAAGGAGCTGTGCTCTTGCACTACTTGACACCATCCCCCACAACTCACTAATTTTTAGCAATTGATATCTCAGAAATGCATGTGCAATAATGTTCTCTGAATGACTGATGATTACATGCCATCAAGAAGTTGTTGACTGTTAGTGACCACATAGATTTTCTCCATGATGATCTATCCCTAACCTGGTCCCTCAGCTCTTCCAATGGTGCACTCATCGCTATGGTAACTGAGTCCATCCACCTTGCTTCTGGTTGTCCTCTTCTTCTCTTTCCTTCCAACTTTCCCCACACTGGAGCCCAATATAAGCCACTTCTGAATAGCTGTCACTATTCAGTAAAGGTGAGCAGCTTCTGGTCTGTGAAAAGACATTGTCCTGTAAAGTTTACAGTGCCATCATACACATCAGCAGTATTCCTCTTGGAGGAAAGAAGCAAATGGCTTTGCTAAAAGCAGATAATAGGAAAGCCAGAGCTGGCTCAACCTTGCAATGCTCAGCTAACTATGGCAGTATGGTACTCTCTAGTGCACACGTTGTTCTCTGTTAAGCAGACAATTCTTGTTCAGGGCAATTTACCTGGTTGTAAAATTTCATCATTTATTTTTCACTCATCTCCAATTATAGCAACAGTTTTTAAAGCAGATACATAATTTAAGAGTAACACTGAAGCATATCCCTACTAACTTCTTTGGCAGGCAAGGAGCCAAGATATGAAAATATGGGTCCATGTCCTTTGTTTGGGATGGCTTATCCCACCCCTCAGTTCTTTAGTTGGGTCCTGCCAACTCCTGGGCCATTAATTTTGACAGAAGAGCCCACATTAGACAGCACCTTTCATCTTCAAGTAATTGGAGTGATTCACAGCTCTGCTATCCAGCCACAGCTGTCACCAAGAGAACACTTATCTTTTTAGGAGACGTTCCTTACATTTTACTTTGGCAGTAGCTACGAGACCTCCAAACATCTCCTGGGAAGCATACGTCATGTATACAAAGCCATCTTCATCTTTGTAATCTCGGTATACTTCGGCCAGAGTTAAAGACATACTGGCTAAACTCTTGTTGTTTACCAGCAGGTAGAAAGCTTGAGTAGCACTCAGTGCCATTCTGCTTCTGGATTAACAAAGAAAATAGGCAAACATCTAAACACATGCAAAGTTCTTCACAGTATATAGATTAGCTAAACTCATGGTCAAGTGCAAAGTTGCCACCAGTAAACCCCATATTGTACCTAGAAGTGGGAGTAGGAGTAGGGAGGAAGATGAAGGATGTTTTTTCAAGTTCTCCAGACTATCTAAGAAGAGGCATATTTTCCATTTTTCTGGGATAACCTTTATAGTGTTTAGTGTAGATAATATAAGCTTTCTTACATATTATTATTAAAATTAGTGTTTGTTTGTTTGTTTGTTTGTTTGCCTTCAAGTCAGTTTTTGACTCCTGGTGACCGCCTGGACTAGTCCCTGCAGTTTTCTTGGCAAGGTTTTTTGGAAGTGGTTTGCCATTGCCT